CCTAAAACTTAACGGCTTAAAACAGCATTAAGCCTTTATTATCTTGTGCAATTTCTTGAGGTCAGGAATCTGGGGTGACTTAGCTGGGTGTTTCTGGCTCAGAGTCTGTCAAAGTTGGAGTCAAGATGTTGGTCAAGGCTGAAATCATCTGAAGACTTGGCTGGTATCAGAGAATCTGATTCCAGGATAGCTCACTCACATGACTGGCAAGTTGATGTTGGCAGTTGCCCTCAGTTCCTGCAAATGTGGACCTCTTTGTAGGATTGATTGGGTATCCTCCCAACATGGCAGTTGGCATCCCCCTGAGCAAGGGATTCCAGAGAGAGTAAGAAGAAAGCCACGTTGACATTTATGGTCTGGACTTAGAAACTACACTCTGTTAGTTCCTTCATATTCTACCAGTTACACAGGTCTGACCCAGTCAATGTTGTGAGGAGGTGACTTGACTTCTACACAAGGAAGTGAACACCAGGAGATGGAGATCACTGAGGGCTGTCTTTGAAGCTAGCTACTCTAGATCAGAACATTTCTTCTTCTTTTCTCTATATCTCCTGACTTGTCTTTCATTCTCATTTCTTTATCCCTTCCTGATGTGTTTTGGATGAGGTTCTCAACCAAGTCATTTAGCTCAGTAATTTCTCATTTAGCTGTATACTCTCTGCTATTTAGCCCATCCCACTGGAGTGCAGTAATGCGATCATAGCTCACTGCAGCACTGAACTCCGGGCTCAAGTGATCCTCCATTCTCAGCCTCCCAAGTATCTAGAACCACAGGCATGTACCACCATGTCTGGCTAATTTTTGTATTTTTTGTAGAGACAGGGTCTATGTTGCCAAGGTTGGTCTCAAACTCCTGGCCTTAAGTGATTCTCCCACCTTGGCCTCCCAAAGCTCTGGGATTACAGGTATGAGCCACTGCACCTGGCCATCCCAAGTTATTTCAAAAATTAGTTTTTTTTAAAACATAGGTGTTGTATTATTTGTGCCTTATGCCCTGCTAGTGTATGCACATCAACATGTTTCGGGGGGTGGAGCGGGGGCAGGTAGCAGCTTGGGGGAAACAGCCAGCTCTTCCTCTACCTTCATCCCCAGGGCCTAGTACATCCCCCAGCACACAGGAGATGCTGAGTAAATATGTATTGAGAGGAGAACAACATTAATAACAACACAATGGTTGTTATCTTTTAAGCACTTGTTGTGTGTCCCTATAACCCTACAAGCACCCTCTGAGGTAGGCACTGACATTTCCATTCTGGAGGGACCTCAAGGCTGGAGAGGGGCTCTGGCAGAACTAAGTTCAGATCTTCCCACTCTGTTCTAGCCCTAAAATTGGGAGAATGGAATAGGAGAATGAGGAGTTCAGGACATCCAGCCCTGAAAGAGGGGACCAGGTCAGTGCCCTAAAACCAAGGGTTCCAAGCAGTGTTCCCTGGGCCTCCCCATGTGCCTGGGAGCAGAGGCCTGAAGCTTCTGCCACAAGACACGCATTGCTGGAAATCAGGGTGCTGGGGCCAGGCCAGCATTTGCCTTCTCCCCCACGTCTCAGCAAAGCCACTCAAGAGTCTCTCATCCCCCAGCAGGAAAAGCATATGTTCTTTCCATATAGAGGAGAAATTGTTCCACCAGTGAGTAAGCCTCTTGGCTGCAGTGCCTGGCCCAGCCCGCAGAACACTGGACAGGAAGCTGGGCTTCGCTGGTTACCACTCTTGGAACCGGGACAGGGCTGGCTGACACCCTTGGAGACAACAATGGGCCTTCGGATGGGCTGGGGGACAGTGGGGAAGCAGGGGCTGGGATGTGCCCGGAGACATTTAGCAGTTCAGGGTAGGAGGAGCACGAGTACACCCCTGAATAGAAGCACTTTTCTCCATTCTGGCTGAGATGGGCTGGAAGCGGGGAGGGACGAGGGGACTGAGAGGGGTGGGGCAGCCTTTCCAGTCCCCTCACTGGGTCAGCCCAGGAGTCTGGGTCTGAGTCACAGGTGACTCAGGTGTGCTCAGCAAGGTGGGGCCGGTTTTTAGACTGTTATTTCCAGCTACCCAAAAAGTCTGTCTGGTGCCTGCACAGTCAGCAGGCGGTGACTCTTGTCCCTGGCACCTTCGTTCATCCCGCCACTGCCGCAGGTCTTTCCAGCAGCCCAGTGCCGCAGGTCTTTCCAGCAGCCTTGGCTGGATGGTGCGTGCTGCTCTTTCCCTCAGCTCACCTGGGTCCTGCTTCTCTCTCCACCTTTTCACCGTTTGTTAAGGACCCACTGAGAGTGGGGCTTGGGGAGTGTGGGGAGAGAAGGGACAAGGAAGCCAGGGTGTAGGAATGGGTAGGGAGCTAGCTGGTGGGGGGTAGAGGAGAAATCGGGAGGGGCTTCACATAAAAGGAAAACATTGAGAAATTAAGTACATTTAACCTGGAAAGTCAAAGACTCAAGGGAGAGGACGGTGACATGAAAACCATTTGAAGATGTGTCACAGGTCACCCCATTAAAGTGGGATTGAATTTCTTGTGGGTGTGAGCTTGAGGGGGACAAACCTTGCTATACATAAATCCAGGGCCTGCACCCTCTGAGGAGTGCTTTTGAGAAGTTGATTTTCTGTCTTTGGACACATCCAGGACAAGGGTAGATGCCTCCCAGTCAGAAAGAGTCAGGAGGTGGACTGGAGTTTAGGTCTCGAACTGGTGGCCTGTGGGCCAGACGCAGCCCTGACAATGTGCACAATGGCCAGCACTTGTGCATGGCCACAGCAAGCTGGGGCTGAGTGGCAATGGCCTGCTCCAGCAAGGCACACACTCCCTGTTCCCCACAGCACAGCTGGTCTGGTTCAGTCTTTCATTTTTCAGGACTGGCCCTTGAGGCATTTTCATCTGTGACCCTTGGAGTAGAGGCCCGGAATATACCCACCTTTCTCCCTCTCTAGTTGTACCCTGTAGGCTCAGCTGCGCCGGCTGCAGGAGGAGGAAGCAGTACCTGCTAAGATGCAGGCTCTCCCGTGGGCTCAGGGAACACCAGATAGCCTGAGCTGCCTGCCCTGACTGGAACCCCAGATAGGGCTGCCCGCGGGCTAGACATTACCACCTCAATAAACATCACCTTCCTTTCTCCCATCCTCAAACCTCATTGGAATAAACCCCACATTTGCAGGCATCAACTCCAATTGTGTTGAGGAGTCTAGAGGGGCAGCCCCAAGGCAGCTCTTGATTTTTATATCAGTAGTGATGGATGCTGTTTATCGGCCCCTGCCCCTCCTGCCCCCGCCTCCCACCCAGTTCTGGGCACCTTACATACAGACTCTCAATCTTCTTTTCAGCCCTGCGTGGCAGGAAAGCCCACATAGTGGCTGGGAATACTGAGTGTCACAGAAGTAAGACACTCGTCCGCCATGACTCAAGCCAGATCCTCAGCCCAGGTCAGCTGACTCTAAAGCTGGTGCTCTTTCTAGAGCACTCATTGCCCGTGTTTTAAGTGACTGCGGCACCTGCTGCTCTCTGGGGTCCTGCCTGCCTGGGAGTGGGGATGATGGGCACCTCCCCAGTTTTCTTTCCCCCCAGGGCATCTAAGCAAGTCGGGCTGGAGATTCCCTTTGAAATGCTCTGCCTTCAGGAAACCTGGTTTGTGTCTCCTATCAAGGAAGCCTGAAGCCATGGACAGAACCTTGGGCCGGGAGTCGGAAAGCCTGGGTTCACCTCCCAGGCCAGGCTGCATCATGCTCCAGCCCCTCTCTGAGCCTTAGCATCTGTGGCTGACTGAAGACTGCCTAGAGGATCCCTGGAGCAGTCCCCTAGGCATTTTTGAAGACACTGTCCCTCACACCACATCCCAAAATGTTCATTATGCAGGTTCTGCCCTCGAAGCTTTTGGGAGGATAGGCGGCCCAAGGCCACCACCTGGTGGCCAATCACAGCCAGACAAGGCCAATGCACCCAGCAGCCTTGAAGGCACATAAGAAATCATAAAGCTGCAGAGGGCTGGGTCATCACCTTGAAACTCTGGGGACAGGGCGGGAGAGAAACCTGTGAGAGCAGATTGCATCTCTCCCTTCTTCCAGACATGGGAGGGGGCCCTCCAGCTTCCCAGAGGTCAATGGCTCAGATGGGAGGCATTGCCATCCTAGGACAGCTGAGAGGAAAAAAACACTTGAGTTTGGGGATCGGGCAGGTCTGGATTGGAATCTCTTGGGTTCTTAACCTTGTTTGAGTCCTTCTTCTGTGCAGTGGGCCATTTGGGACCCATCTTGCCGGGCTGTGGACCTCTCTGCCTGAACAGGGAGCCAAGGGAGGTGGCATGGAGAGAGGCTGGACCTGTGACTGAGTGCCCCTTGGTGGCGCCCAGCCCCGGGGCCAACTCTCAGCTGTGGCTGCACATCCTAACACCTGATGCTTAGGCAGTGCTTCTCTCAAAGTATGGTCCCCGGGCCAGCAGCAGAAGCAGCAGCAGCAGCAACAGCAGTGGGGAACTTGTTAGAATGGGGAACTTGCACATTCTCAAGCTCCACCGCAACCCACTGGGTCTCAAACTCTGGGGGTGAACCCAGCATCTGCCAGGTGATGCAGATGCTCACTAGTGTCAGAGGACCATGCTCAGGTGCTGGGATGGCTGAGAAAGCACCGCAGGTGACTCAAGTACCCTAGAACCAGAATCACCTGTGGAGGTTAAAAAAAAGGAACAGCTTGGCCAGGTGCGGTGACTCACGCCTGTAATCCCAGCACTTTGGGAGGCTGAGGTGGGTGGATCCCTTGAGGTCAGGAGTTTGAGACCAGACTGGCCAACATGGAGAAACCCCATCTTTACTGAAAATATAAAAATGAGCTGGGTGTGATGGTGCATGCCTGTAATCCCAGCTACTTGGGAGGCTGAGGCAGGAGAATCACTTGGACCCGGGAGGTGGAGGTTGCAGTAAGCCAAGATCCAGTCACTGCACTCCAGCCTGGGTGACAGAGTGAGACTCCATCTCAAAAACAAAAACCAAACAAAACCAAAACAAAACAAAACAAAACAAAGTTGCTTAGACACCATTCCAGTGATTTTTATTTAGTGTAAGCACTAAACTACTAATTATTATGAAAATAACAAGAATTCTGCAGTTGATTTCTGGTCCAGACCCTCCTCCCTGTACAGTATGCCCTCCCCTCAGAGAGCCGAGCCCCAAAACAGAGTGCTGCGACTCTTCCTGGGGTACCCTAGATCTGCAGGCAGTCCAGGGAAGAACAATTACTTATCGACACCTGGTGGGTGCTTAAGCTAGGACAGGCATGGTGCTGGGGGCTTTGCATGCAATGTCTCACAAATACCCTACGAGTTGTTAGAATTCTCATTTTACAGATAGAGAAACTGAGAAGTTCAGTGAGTCACCTTAGGTCAAACAGCTACTAAATGACAAAGACAGGATTCCAACCTACTTCTCTCTGACTCCACAGTTCGTTACCTTTCCTTCCTCGTTTTACAAATAAGAGGAGGGGTGACTTGCTCAAGGCTGCTGGGGTGGCACCCTTGACATTTCCTATACCTTCACCTCAAAGTCCACAAATGCTGTGGCACCAAAATCAAGAGGAGCTGAATGCCACCCCAGGAAATACCACCTTTCTAGGCATAAATGCACCAGGAATAGGGCTAGAATGAAACAGCAAAGGGTGGGACTAGTAATTAAGCCACATGCTACTTAGATTCCCAAGCTGCATTTTGGACCCACAGGATTCAAGATATTAAGGAAATTGACACTTGCCCACCTCCCCAGCATAAGACTTCATTCCCTCCTAACATCACACAGAAATGGGTCCTGTCTACAGTTAACCCAGCTCGGAGAGAGGAATAAGAAGAGGACCCAGTGATGGCGTAGAGAAAATACAGAGCCACTTTACTATTAAAAATGTATTTTCCAAAAGCAAGGTAGTTGCTGTCCCAAAAAGCCGAAAGCCTCTAGTCCCTGGGGAATGGGCTGGACAGGGCTTCAGTCTGACACAGCCAGGCGGGGCAGCCCTCGGCGGGCTCGGATTCTCTGGGAGATTTGGTAGAGCTCCATCGTTGCCTTCGCATCTTCCACCGAGCTGTGTCCAAGCAGGCTGTTCTGCAGACACAAGTATAGAGTGGGGACTTGGGATGAAGCTGAATTCAGAGGCCCCATGACGGGATCTTCCCTGGTCACATCCCGATTTCCAGAGTCCCCAGGTGGGTCAGTGGGTGAGAGTCTCTTGAGGTCTCTGACACTCTGGACTTAGGAGATTCAGCAGGTGGCTGGAGCTGCCCTGCCTTCAGCCCTCGGGCCAGTGGCACAAAATCCAGCCTCCTGGGAACCAGGCTGTGCCTTCAAGTCGCCTGCAGTCCCGCAAGGTAAGTAGAGGCTGCAGACTTGCTGTCAGACACACGCAGTGGCTCCAGCAGCTCTAACAAGGAGCTTCAGGACACTGAGGAGGGAGTGAGGAACTCCAGCTAGGGACACGGGGAAGGGCTGCTCAGAGAGAACACAAGGACATCAATAAATGGAAAGGAAAGGCTGCAAGCATTTAGGAGGCAGGGAGAGCATGTGCAGCTAAAATCAGAGACCTGAGAGGGTGGGGGCAGGGGGTGTGTGAAAGATGGTGTGGGGGCAGATGGTGGGCCTGGATTTATCACTGAAGGCCTTGAATGCCGAAGTCGGGAGCCTAGACTTTATGGGGTAGTGCTATGGGAGTCAGGGGGCCCTCAGTCCATTCAAGGGAGAAGCGATGGCCATTTACCACGTCTTCCGTGCACTAGGCTGAAGTTAAACCTCTGAGCTGGATACGATTATTCCCCCATTTTACTGATGATAAAACTGAGGCTCACACACAAGCCAGCCAGTTGTGGAGCTGAGATGTGGATCCTGCAGAGGCAAGTACGCTGGGCAAATCCTCACTGCAGTCACCTTTCATCTCCCTTTGCATCCCCCGCTCAGCCCTGGTGTCCTGGTTAGTACCCAGCATGGGAGCCAGCGGGCTGTTGGACCTGGCTGCATTTTCTTGGTGTCCCTCTGTCGAGAGAGGCCTTCCTGTTCTCACAGGGGCTCCTTTTCCAGGCACTCCAGACAGGGTGTTGGGAATACCTGGTTAGGTGGCCCAGCTCAAAAAGTCTTTTTCTCGTTGCCGTTATTATGCTGTACTGTTTTATTTTTTAATGTTTATTTTTTGGCTTGGACACTCTATCATTAATCAACAAGCAGGTAGCATGGTGGTGTCGTCCGCGCTGTGCCTCTGAATACCTGCCCGTCACCATCCTTGCTTGACAGATGAGGAAACTGAGGCACAGGGAGGTTATGTGCTCTACCACTCTGTTCTATGGAGAAGGAAGCCAAGAACAGAAGAAGAATGCAGCACCAGCATCCTTTATTACCAAGTGGGGAGGTAAAGAGCCCTGGACTTGGAATCAGACAAACCCAGGCTCCAATTCCCAGCTCCCCTGCTTATGAGCTCTGTGACCGTGGGCAAGCCACTTTTCCTCTCTGGGTCTCTGTTTCCTCTTCTGTGAAAGGGGCTTGATTATACCTGCCTTAGAGGATGGAATGAGAGATGCCAAGTGCCCAGCGTCCTCCACAGGGCTTGGTAAATGGCAGGGTCCTTCCTTTCCTATGCAGCCTAGTCTACCATGCACGCAGCTTGGCGGGGAGCCACAGGCCTGCCATTTCACCCCCTCGAGGGGCAGTAACACCACTGCCCAACTGTGACAGCTCTACCATGTTAGCTCCTTGTGTCCTGTGGGTCAGTTCTAGTCACAGTGATCAGTAGCACCACTGTCCATGTGAGGGGGGCTGGAGAGCTGGTTTCTAGGGGCATCAGTGCAGGCAGGAACTGCCTGGTGGGGTACTGAGCTTCTGGAACAACCAGGCTTAATAAGCCTAGGGACAGAGCCTAGGAGAAGGCCCTGGGTCAGGCTCAAGGCCCCAGACTGAGAACCACAGAGTGACAAGGGCTCCAGGAAAACCCCAGCCTGGCCCTTATGTGCCTCATGTGCCTCAAGGCTAACAGGCCCAGACTCAGGCCTGTTCCCTGCTCCGGACATGGTTCCTGAAGTTCTTACCAGCAGGCGAGGGGTGGGCTCCATGCTCCCCAGCCCCTCACCCAGCCTCAGGCTTTGGCTCACCCAGCCCCATTCCGTATGCCTTCTGCCCTCCTTGACTGAGACCCTCCTTGACTGAACAGCTCTGTTCAGATCTGGTCTCCTGCCCTGCCAGCCCCATGCTTCATCCTGCTCCCAGGGCACTGCCTTTCCCTCCATCAGATACTCCCTCCCATGTGTGCTGATGACCTGGTTAAGGGCCACCTCCCAACCAAACAAGAGCTCAAGGACAGAGATGGGTCTTGTTCACCATGTCTCTCTAGGATCTGGTCTAAAGCATGGAGCAGGTGTTTAACAAAGAGCCGTTGACCCGAAGGGTCCCTGTGTGCAGCCCTGGCTCTTAGTGTCTGGCCCCTCTCCCTCTGCCCTTCCCACAGGGTAAACTCCCAACACCCCACATCTGCATGCCTTTTCCTGCCGGCTTTGCCCACCAGCCAGGAGTGCTGTGGAATCAGTGCCCAGGAGCAGCAGCAGCTGGAAGTTGATGGGAACTGGTGTACAAATATACCAGTTCCCTGGCTCCTGCTGGAGACACATCTGAGGTGAGGTGTGTGTTTTACACCATTGCCCAGAGTTCTATGGTGGGAGCAAGCTTCACTTCCCACAGGGTGACTGGCTTGATTTCAACAACAAAAGCAAACCTTTGTTGGGTGTTTCTCCTTCCCTGCCCTCATCCTCACTCTACCAGCCCAGGGACCAGGCACAGCAGGACCTACCATCAATGCCTCGGGCAGGCTGCCGAGGTGTGCGAGGGCATGAGGGAGGAGGAAGAAGGGGAGGGGACAGGGAGGGAGAAGGGGAAGAAGGGGAGGAGAGCGAGGAGGTGGGGAAGGGGGAGGAGGGCAAAGGGGGATGGGGAGGAGGGAAAGGAGGAGGGGAAGGAAGAAGAGGGGGAAGAGGGGGAGGAAATGGAGACAGATGAGGAGGAGAGGAAGGAGACGAGAGGGAGGAGGGGGAAGAGGAGGGGGAGGAGTGGGAGGAGGGGGAGAAGGACAAGGAGGTTCTCACCTGGATGCTCTTGTGCAGGAGGCGCTCACACAGCACCCGCAGGGAGACGCGTCTGCAGTGGTCCAGCTTGGCCTCACGCCACAGCAGCATGTCGGTGGACGTGTCATAGATTGTGTAGCGGCTCATGTCCTCTTTCAGTGCCTGGAAGTCGTGCTTCAGGTCATGACCCACCACCAGCTTGCCTTTCAGGAGCTGCAGGATCTGGCCAGGAAGACATGTGCCCACCACTACATGACCCAGCATTCTCTGGGCGGGTCTGGGGCTGGCAAAGGAGCAACCCCTCCTTGAATGGCTGTGTGACCTTGGGCAAATTATCATCCCTCCCTGGGCTTCAAATATATCATCTTTGAAAAGAAGAGATTAGACTAGGTCCCTCCTCACACTTGATAGTTTCAGTCTGTGCCAAAAGCCTACCTGGGCTCCTTCGGGAGCTACACTGTGTAGGAGCAATGATTAGTACGTCTTGAGTATTTCCCAGGTGCCAGACATGCTTCAAAATCCGTCATGCATATTATGTTGTTTAATCTTCCCAACAATTCTATTGTGGCAGGCAGAATAATGACCTCCCAAAGATGTCCACACCCTAGTCCCCAGGATCTGTGAATACATTACCCGGCAAAGAGGAATTAAAATTCCGGGCAGAATTTAGATTGCTAATCAGTGAACCTGCAAATGGGGAGATTGCCTGGCCTACCCATGTGGGCCCAACATAATCACAAGGCTCCTCACACGTGGAGATCAGAGTGAATCCACATGAGGAAAACAGGCTGTTGCTGGCTTTGAAGATGGAGGGAGGGGCCGTGAGTCAAGGTATTCAGGCAACCTCTAGAAGCCAGAAAGGGCAAGGAAATGGATTCTTCCCCAGAGCATCCCGAAGGAACCGAGCCCCACTGACACTGATTTTAGCCCAGTGAGACCCACGCTGAACTTGGAAACTACAGAACTGTAAGAGAATACATCTGTGTTGCTGTGGACCACTAAGTTGATGGCTTCCTTACGGCAGCCACAGAAAACTAACAGTGAGGAGGCAGCACTGCATTTAACTGAGTTTTACAAAGGAAATATCTGAAACGCAGACAAGTAACACGCCCAGGCTTACTCTGATGATTTTAAAACAAGTTTGCAAATTCCTTGATACTCTTCTTAAAAAAGGATGGAAAAAAACTCCCCTCCCTTTGCATATGGGCTGGTCTGTATGACTTCTGACTTCTGTCTGGGACACGAATTCTATAAGAAATCCGGCCACCAGCCAGGCATGGTGGCTGATGTCTGTAATCCCAGCACTTTGGGAGGCTGAGGCAGGCGGATCACCTGAGGCCAGGAGTTTGAGACCAGCCTGGCCAACACGGTGAGACCCTGTCCCTATTAAAAATGCCAAAACTACACGGACGCGGTGGCTAGTCCCAGTTACTCGAGAGGCTGAGGCAGGAGAATTGCTTGAACCTGGGAGGGAGATTGCAGTGAGCTGAGATTGTGCCACTGCACTCCAGCTTGGGCGACAGCGAGACTTCATCTCAAAAAAAAAAAAAAAAAAAATCTGGCCACCCCAAAGCCACCATGCTGGAGAGACCATGCAGAGAGCCACCGAGATAGTGATGTGGCCAAGGCAGGCCAGCACCAGCCACCAGACAGGTGGGTGAGCAAACCTTCCAATGGTTCCAGCCTTCAAGGTGCCTTAACTGACGGCCTGTCCTGCTGCAGAGCACCTGCCCAAATTGCAGGTGGCTGAGCGAAATAAGTATTGACATTGTTAGAACCAGTAAGTTTTGGTGTGACTTGCCAAGCACCATTTGATAACTGGGACAGTCACACGGCTGGTTAGTGGCAGAGCCGGGCCTTGAAGCCAGTGGGCTGAATCCAGAGCCTGCCTGCCACTGCCACACTGAGCCAGAAGAGTGAACAACCACTCCAGGCCTCCAGCAGCCCAGAGGCCCAGCTGTGAGTGCCCCAGCCCTGCCTTCCTTGCCTCGCCTCCCACATGGACAGCCTGCTCTGCTCTGATCACACAGGCCAGTCAGCTTGCTTTCACTCGACTGCCACTGGAAAGGATGGGAAGGGGACCTGAAAATAGAACAGATGCGAGCTGTATTAGGGAAAGGGGCAGCTCGTGGCTAGTTCAGGCCCACTTTGGACAGCTCTAGGACAGCCTTTGTCTCCTTCTCTGCATGCAGCCCATGACCTTAGCATGTGCCCCAGGAAAGAGCCTTCTGGTGGCTAACACCTTCCCCACAGCCTGCTTCTCCTTCTAGATGGCCAGCGGCCTCCTGGAACATCATGTGGTCCCTTTCACGCGTTCTCCCCTGGCAACCACAGAAGACTGAGGCTCAGAGAGGAGATGTGAGTTGCCCAGGGTCACGATGCGGGAAGCAGAATCTGTCCCTCCACTGTCAACAGGCAGGGTCACCAGCCTGCCCTGCCGTCCACATGGTCTGTTTGGAGACCTTCTCTGGACAGAGCTCATGCTCAACTTAGAGGACTGGGGATAGTGTGCTAGAGAATGAAGGGGCGCTGCTCCTGAACCACACCAGCGCTTCTCAAGCTTGAGTGCGCTAGAGACCACCTGGGAAATGGCGATAAAACTGAGGCTTTAAAATATGACAACAGGCACACGACCTCAGAGCAGCAGCTCAAGGGAAACTGTGTAGAGGAAACTGCCTAGCACACAGCGGCGGGCAGAAACGGCAGGGGGTGTGGAGAGATGTGGTTGTGTGGGCGGCCATGGGTCACGTGTCTTTTCTTGCTAACATCCTTTGTGCTTCTGAACAATGTGGCCTGTTTTCCCCTTCTAGGGGCTTGGCTCAGGCCCAGTTCACACAAAGCCCTGAAGGAACTCATCCACCATCCCAGAGGCAGCCACAGCTGGGCCCAGACATAGAAGGAACGAGTCATCGTGATGTGGATTCCCAGGAAACTCGTCACTTCCCGAGCCTGAGAGTCTGGAGAGGGGAAGTGGGGGTCTACATGAGGCACTATGGGAGTCACCACGAGACAAACAGAATAAGAGGGAGAGGACAAGCCAAGGAAGGAAGAGGAAGAAGGGAAAGAACAGAACCATCTATTTAGCAGAGAGACACCACTCTTTGGGACAAAGACTCTGGGAAGGAAGAGATGCTGGAACTTGCTGTGTGACCTCAGGGATATCAAAGACCCTCTCTGGGCTTCAGTTTTCCTATTTGTAAGGTGAGGGTCCAGACTGGTGAGGCCTGAGTGGCCCTTTAGCAGCCAAGGCTAAACAGACTGAGGCAGGTCTGAAAAGGGAAGGAGTTGGGCATCTGCTGGAGTCCAGGGGTCGGCGAAAGGCACTGGCAGGCTGGCCTCGGGGCTGTGTGACCTGCTGTCCCCAGGATCTGCCCTGAGTCAGTGTCATGAGGCAAGTGTGTCAGACTTTGCTACTTTCAAACACAGGGGGAGGAGTCTCTCAAGTTCCTGGAAAGAACTGGGGTGGGGCTGGGGGATGGGACATCTACTGATCTCTTAGCAGCCTGGCACTGTGCCAGGCACTTTCCTTACCTCGTCATGAAGCTCCTCAATGAGATTATTCTTAATTCCATTTTACAGAGGAGGGAGCCCAGAATCAGAGAGATTAAGGGGCTTGCCCAAGTCACACAGCTAGTCAGCTGAAAGCTGCAGTGCTGTGTCTGGATCCACCTGACGCCATCATTGTTACTGTAGTTGTTATTATTAGCACAAGGACCAAGGGACAGGGCACTACCAGGCACACAATGATAACCCTACATACCATCCGACCCACCAGCAAAGCAGGGCACAGGGCAGCGTGCACCCAGGTCACACGCAGGGGAGTGCCAGGCCGGGTGCTGCCTGCACACACCTTCCGCTGCGTTTCCACTCTACTCCAAGTATTTCCCAGATGTGCCTGATGCAAAAATCCTGGAGGGCCAGGCCCTACACAGACTTACTAAATTGAAATCTCCAGGGATGGGTGTCAGCAACTGTTTCAGGGGATTCTTCCCATCTAACAAGTCTGCATTGAACCCCACTGAGCAGTCCAGAGCCTGCTGCCTCTACCATGCTTTCATTCATCCATCGTACATTAGTTCATATACCAATTCATTCATTCTTGACTGCCAGGAGAGGAGGCTATGGGTAAGGGGCTCTGAAGAATGTTGTTCTTGCAGAGGACCAGGTCCCTTACTATCACCTTCTGGAGTGGCTCCAGCCTCAGTCTTTGCTCTTGTCCCCTGCCAAGCTCCCTTGGTGTCCCTGCCCCTGGCTAGTGCCTGGTTCCCACAAGGCCGCTTACCCTGGGGCAAATCTGGATATTGAAGCCTTCCTCCTTCATCTGGCTGAGCCCCAGAAAGACCTGCCAGGTGGCAGGGCCCCAACAGGACACTCCCACCTGTGCAAGGACTACCGGGCTGGCTACAGCTGAAATCTCTCCCTGTTCACAAGCTACCATGACTTCCCTTCTGTTTGCATCTGTGTCTGCAACCACAGTGCTTCCCAGGCTGGATGTCCCTCCTTATGCTGGGTTGACATTAAAAGACCATTCAGTCACAAAAGTGATTTACAAGTTACTAAAAATTACTGTTAGACTTTTTAAAAAGGAAAAAGAAAAACATTAACTCACCAGGTGAGACCCCCGAATGTCAGCAGTGATTTGTATCATAGCTTCCTGCATGTCCTTAGGCAAATCCCTGCCCCTCTCTGGACGCCAGGCTCCAGTGCATAGATTCCCTCCTGTGCTGACAGTTTGATTTGTGGGGCTTTCTATAGACCGGGGTTTCTTAGCCTCAGCACTGTTGCCATGTGGGGCCAGATATTTCTTTGTTATGTGTGCGTGGCAGGGGAGGGAGCTGCCCTGGGCATTGTGAGATGTTTGGGAGCTCTCTGGTCTCTACCCACTAGATGCCGGCCACTGTGACAACCAGAAATGTCTCCCAACATTGCTAAATATCCCCTCTATATAATGGTCAGACACAAAGATGTCAGATCATAAGGATTTACATTATAACATAATGTCGCCACATTACAATAAATAAAAAGAGATGGAGTGGGGGGCCTCCACTCACATCAGTGGCCTAAAGTGCTAGCACTCCTGGGTGGACTTGGGACTCCCTGGAGCCTCCCGACCACTATGGGCTACCTTATTGCTGGCTGCTGGCTGGGCACACTCACTACTCCTTACTGGGAGGAGACAGAGAGGTGAGGGGCCTTTGAAAAATGCCTGCATAGCCAGGCGC